AAAGGTCATTTTTAGATCATAATCTTTAATTAAAAAAATTATCATGGTGGGTTGTCATTAAAAAAATTTTTTTTTCCAAAACTCGAAAACTAAAAAAAGTTTCGAAAAATGTTATTCTTCATAAATGGTCATATTTTAATTGTACTTTACGCTACACTAATTATTTACGAAAAAAGCGCTTGGTTCCCTACTTTTTCTTCCTTTTTTTAATGTTACCATTTGTCACGCCATGCCTTTTTTGTCACCCTGTGTAATTGAAACTTTCCAGACACAAGGATCGAATTCGGGACCGCAGTTCGAAGAAAAGACGCGACGAATCCAGCTCTCGGAGGAAGAAAGAGGATGAAGGTAGTCTAGGTTCTGGAATTTCTTCGGCAATTCACATAATCTCGCGTTTGCGCGGCCAAAAAGACGACGATTACCAATACGGCAAAACCCGTTCTTCCTCCTTGGAGAGCAACAATTCCGACGTCTTGCGTCTCGACGACGAGCGTCGCAAATCCTCCCCTTACGTCTTGGACAACAGCGGCGTCATCACCGCAAGTCTGACCATCCCCGCCCCCCAGCCCCTCAACGTGGACGACGACATTCCTTACATCGAGGACGTGGAAAACACCCGAATAACAATCGGGTTGGTTCGCACCCCGACTGCACCTCCTCGACGACGGCAACGATCAATCAGCGGAAGCGATTCATCTGTTGCATCGGTGCAGCCAATCACAGGATCGATATCCTTGGTGCAAGGATACGACTCGGCTGTGGGGTCTTCGAGTCCTGTCTCGTGGGGGTCCACTCCCCCCACGTCCCCCGATAGCGTCCAAACTGTCAATTACATGCCGGAGGAGCTGCAAAAGGGGGCGAAAAGCGGGGCAACACTCCAAAAGGTCTCGTTCTCCTCCACACAAGAAGTGCAACAAGTCAAAACGAAGAGTAGAGAGGATTTACAGAAGAGTTTCAGTGTTTCAGCTTTCGAAAAACAAACTCCGAGTATTTCCAATATTGGGAATGCGGTTTTGAGGTCGCGAACGGCCGATTTTGAGAGGATTACCACCAAAGTGGAGAAGCCTAAAAGTGGCTCAGAGAAGAAGAAGTATACGAAACGGAGGTATACTGATTCGAGGCACCAGACGAGGCATATTCCCGATTCGGAAACTCTTGAATCGGTAAATACGCAAAGCAAAAAGGATGAGTCAGTGGTGGTGGCACAAGCACCGGTTTATAAAAGAAGGGAACTCATCTCGAGTGTTCCATCGAAGTAGGGAAAAAGGGAGATATCTTTCGAATGTGTTCAAAACTTTCAGTGATCAGTGTCTAGCTCTAGTTATTGGCCCAAAATTGTTATCTATTTTCTAAGGATGCATGCAAACGAACTGTGTGTTGGTGTAAAAATTAAAACGGCTTAAGTCAATAAATAATAACGTGAATTTAAGAATGTGTTCTAATTGTACTATATCCATGTAAAATGTTCCGGGGACTCGATTGATGTCAAGAAAATTGCAAATTTCTTGATAGTTTGTCGAATTAATATTTTTGCTATTTTTATCTTTACCACCGATTTTTTGTTCTTTATTCGCTTTTTGTAAAAAAAAATATTTCAAATTTTAAGTTCTTTACGTAAAATTGTCCAAAAGTTATCAATCTCTCGTTATTTTTTATCTATAGCTGACCTTTTTTGTCGACCAAAGTTTAAGGTTGTGGTAAGAATTTAGTTTGTCAAGATTCAAACTTTAATGATGCAAAGTAGAGAGTAAAAACAATTCAATGTCTATATTTTCTAACGCAAAATTGTCCAAGAAATCCAAATCTGTTTTTATTTTTTGTCTACGAGTAATAGTTTTTAAAATATCGATCAAAGTTTGCGAGATTGGTTAAAATTTAGTTTTTCAAAAACTAAACTCTTGTATAAAAAATTTTTTTCGGCAAAGTAAAAAGAAAAATTATTTCAAATTTTAAGTTTTCTTACGTAGAATTGTCCAAAAACTACGAATTTCTCTTTATTTTTTAGTTACAGATGACCCTTTTTGAGATATCGGCCAAAGTTTAAGGTTGTGGTA